GTTTTGGTTGAAACCTCGGCATCCGTCAAAGACGTTCTCTTGCGGGAGGTAGGATTGTCGCGGTTCCAAACTGGAGGGGGGAATCAATCTGGATACACTGCACTGGAAAACTAGAACTGACCTGCATTCTCCTGCGCATCAAGTTTGGCTTTGCAACCTCCAGCAAGTTCTGTCGAGAGACCTGAATCAAAAAGTGCTCAGAAGTGCCTGCGGAAAGTTTCCTACTGGCTGCGGCAACGAAGGCCTTTTGCTCCTGTCTGGCCTTTTCTTCTGCCTGTTCCATGGTGAGCTTGCGCTTCTGGGCTCGGGTCAGAGTTGCTGGTTCGGCAGATCCAATGGGCATTTCCATGTCGTAGCTGGCGGTATGTAAGGACGGTAAAGGGATTGGGAGGGTTAAAGAGTGTGCTGAGGGAGGGTGTGGTGGTAGAAGACAAGGGGAAGTGTGTACGTTATCTGCTTTTTTCCATCTTTTACTGTGCTGACTCCATATGCTCGTTAGGGCTAGTCTCGGTTTGAGCGCTCGCGTACGCTCTGAAACAGCGCCCTTGTATGATTCCATCACTGTTATTTGTATACTCATTTCGGCCGCAATAAAATTTCTCCACAACTTGTCAAGTCCGTTTGCACTTACCACGAAATAATAATGGTCTCCTGCCCGGGCTGCAATGTATCCTTCGACAGCGGCAAAGGGTTGTCTCTCCATCTGAGATTGACGACGAACCAAGGCTGCCACGCTGTTTTCACCGCCGCCAATTCACATGTTGGTGCACTGCCGGCAGATTTTCCTCAGGCACCCGACCAGCCACAGGAACAAGACACCATAGAGAACTTTGGAGAACTCCATGGCCTCCCTGCCAGTGGCACCGAGTTTCAGGGAGATTTCTTCGGAGAAAACTACGGGGAGGAGGATTTTGGATACCAATCCAATGGAGGCGACGATGATTCTGAAAATGAGGATTCTGATGACGCTGAGGATCTGACGGCGTGCAATCAGGAGGGTGCCTCGCATGCGGAGATGGAGAGTGGATAGGAGGCACCCCGGGTAGCTTTGCCCGCTGAAAACGGGGATATTCTCATGCCGGGCGTGCAGGCCAAGGCCAATACCGCTCCAACTCGAGAGGCGCGGAAAGCGGCGGAGGATAAATTTCATTATAAACCCATCATCGAAAAATACCCCGGGCGGCTGGCTGGCAGGCCTATTTCGGTTCCCTCCCCGAGTTCGGAAGAGAATTACCGCTCGGCACTCGGTAACTCCTCTCAAGAAAATTTGTACGCCCCTTTCAAGTCAAAAGTGGATTGGGAAATTGCGAAATGGGCCAAGCTCCGAGGCGCAGGATCTACCGCCTTCACTGACCTTCTGAATATTGACGGGGTATGTTTAAATTCACTGTAATCCTACATATATTCAATATTTACCCCTATCCAGGTCCGTGACTCGCTAGATCTTTCCTACGGAACATCTATCCAACTCAACAAAATTATTGACGGGAAATTACCTGGCCGCCCGAAGTTCACACGATCTGAAGTCGTTGTAAACGGCGAAGTGTTCCCTCTGTATTCTCACGACGCCTTGGAATGTGTACGCGCTCTTTGGGGGGAGACAGACTTTGCTCCGTATCTTTTTGTGGTACCCGAGAAGCATTATATTGACAAGGGGAAAACAATCCGAATGTACCACAATATGCATACCGGTAAATGGTGGTGAAGCACCCAGGTTAGCCACGCTTTCAATGATGATTGAGCTTCACTCACCTTTTGTGCAGGAAGCTGTTGAAGCGGACAATCCTGGCGCAACAATTATTCCCATCATCATTTCCTCCGACAAAACCCAACTCACCGTCTTTGGTAACAAACCGCATATCCCGTGTACATGACAATCGGGAACATTCCTAAGGAAATTCGTCGGAAGCCATCGCGTCGCGGTTACGTCCTCCTTGGTTACCTTCCAACATCCCGCATGAAAAATGTCACGAACAAGGCCGCACGTCGACGGATCCTGGGCAACGTATTCCACGCGTGTATGGCACAGATCCTTGCACCCCTGAAAGAGGCCGGCAAGACTGGTATCCCAATGACCAGTGGTGACGGTGTCACCCGGCGTGGTCATCCCATTTACGCCACATTTGTCGGGGATTATCCTGAACAAGTTCTGGTCACCGCAGTGAAAACGGGTGAGTGCCCCATGTGCGAGGTTCCCCGAGACGGGTTGGGTGCGGACAGGGATTTCCCTCTCTGTGATCTCGAGGCTATTCTCGAGGCACTCGATTCGCTTGATGAGGGGCCCACAATATACGCGCAGGCGTGCGCAGATGCAGGGATTAAGCCCATCTATCACCCTTTCTGGGAGGGCTTGCCCTACACGAACATCTATCGTGCCATCAGCCCCGACATCCTCCACTAGCTGTACCAGGGCGTCATTAAACATCTTATCGCATGGGTGACAGCCTGCTGCGGCGAGGCCGAAGTAGATGCCCGATGTCGACGGCTCCCTCCCAACCACAACATCCGCCTCTTCATGAACGGCATAACAAATCTTTCCCGAGTCAACGGGAAGGAGCATGACCAGATTGCGCGGTTCCTGCTCGGCCTTGTTATCGATGTCCAGCTTCCGAACAATCACTCATCGTCTAAACTTGTTGGCGCCGTTCGGGCTCTTCTCGACTTTGTATACCTCGCACAATACCCCATGCACACCTCTGAGACACTGGCCCATCTCGATAACGCACTTCAACGCTTCCACGACAACAAATCCATATTTGTGGACCTTGGCGTTCGAGACGAATTTAACCTTCCCAAACTGCACGGGTGCCGCCACTATACCCCGTACGTAAAATTGTTCGGTACTACGGACAACTACAACACCGAATACACCGAACATCTCCATATCGATCTCGCCAAAGAGGCCTACCGCTCGACTAACTTCGAAGACGAGTTTCCCCAAATGACTCTTTGGCTCGAACGTAAGGAGAAGATTTATCGCCATGAAAAGTACATTCAATGGCGTCTTGACGGCTGCCCATCCCCTCCGGTGATAGAGGACATATCCCCTGGAATTGTCTTCGAGCGCCAACTCAAAATGACGAAGCATCCCACTCTCAAATCTGTTCGCATGTCCCGCTTGGTGACAGATTATAGTGCTGTCTTGTTTCGCGACGCCTTGGCTCGATATGTTGTTCACCTTAATGATCCTGAACTCTCCGCTCTGCAGGTCGAGCAAAAATCACAGCATCTTTCCTTTGCATTCAATTCCGTCCCCATTTACCACCGCATTAAATTCACCACCCAAGACCCTTATTCCGCTCCCGGTGTATCGGACTCGATCGTTGATTCGATTCACGTTCAACCGGGCAAGACACTTAAAAATGGCGACGAACTTCTGGCTCGCTTCGACACAGCACTTGTGAACGGCGGCAGCAGCCAGATCACAGGTATTGCTGGTATGCAATTAAACTGAGTCTGCCTCCTGTTCATTGAACTTTCTTTACAGGCTATCGGATGGCACAGGTCCGGGTGATATTCACCCTTCAACCTCGACACCTCTGCTCTCTCTTTTCCCATGGTATCAACCCCCTAAAACATTTGGCTTACGTTGAATGGTTCTCCCCATTCATGGATCCCGAGCCCGATCACCTCATGTACAAGGTGAATCGGTCTGTGAAGGATGGATATCGGCGCTCTAGTATCATTCCGGTGGCCAATATTCGATGGAGTGTTCATCTTCTTCCCAAATTCGGGCCGGTTGCTCCTGCGGACTGGAAGTCCAGTAACGTTTTGGACAAGTGCTCCTATTTCTTCGTTAACTCACTTACGGACCGCCATATCTATGCTACTGTGTTCTGATGTGTTACTCGTACACTTATAATGATACTGCTGCGAAAACCACTCAATTGATACTTCCAGAAGTTCAATTACCCACAAATTAGCTTCGCTTCTGCAGATTAGTTTCCTTCCCCTCTTTCTCCTTAATTTATCCCAAGGCCTGGGCGGGGAACAAAATTATTCCTAAATTAGTAAAGGAGGTTTTTTCCTGATGTTGTCCCCTTAACGTGCCCCCCCCCCCCCCCCGGCGCTCTTCATCTGTTTTGTCCCCCCTAAGGTCCCTCCTGCATTCCCCCCCTTCAGAGCAAAAGTGTCCCCCCAAATGTCCCCCCCCGGGACCATATGTACCCCCCCGGCACTCTGTGCCTGTCTTGTCCCCTTAATGTCCCCCCCGCCGCTCTTCGTCTGTCTTGTCCCCCATAACGTCGCCCCTACACTCACCTCCTGCATGCCCCCCCCTTCAAGACAAAAGTGTCCCCCCAAATGTCCCCCCCCAGCACCATATGTACCCCCCCGGCACTCTGTGCCTGTCTTGTCCCCCTATGTAGAGACTGTACCTATATTGCAATACGGACGGTGAATACCGTGAGCCACAATGCAATGTGGGCGGTCATTCACCGGGCGGTGACCTACCGCCCGTATTGCAATACGGTATTAATAGGGATTTTAAAGAGGATTAAACCATGCAAAAGGAAAAGCGTAGCCGGGATTGAACACAAAGCATTTGCATTCTCCCATTATTCAACCGGCAGCACCATATCCAACTACACCAAAGAGGCCATAAGAATACATAATAGGTTCCCGGCTAGGGTAAGGCAAGCCTTACCCTACCCGGGAACTGCTAATTCCCAACCTAGGGCAGGCAAGCTGCCCTATGTCTCGGTTATTGTTTGTTACTGCTAATTGTTTGTCTTAATTTTATTTTGCAACCCTAACAAGACCTAACCAACCCTAACCCTAACCCAAACTTAACCACCCTAACATACTAAACCTCACCCTAACCTCTAACCACCGAGGCAATAAATATCCCTAGGACCCTGACCTGACCTCTAACCCTAACCCTAACACCTAACCCAAACCCTAACCAAAGGCCCCTAAGGCGGGGCCTGTAGAGGGGTGACAATCAAATTTATATGTTTGAAAAGTATACCCCTGTCCTATTAACAATACACAATTTTCACTCCTTATTGGCTTAGGTGGTTATGGTGTTGGATTCTGGCTTTTGCCGAACCCAAGAGTTTTTGAGTTCAATTCCCGACTCAGGCAATTCTTTATACATATACTGTCCATGGCCGCATTGTATTGCGGGTATAACTGTCCTACCGGTGAAGATCCCACTATAATGCAACACGGTATACGGTATTCTCCTACCATATTGCAATACTGCTGCTTTCTATGGTGTCCCCCTAATGTCCCCCCCCGCTCTTTGTGTGTTATGTCCCCCATAACGTCCGCACACGTCCCTGTAGTGTCCCCACACGGCCGGTCTGTCCCCCTCGGTGTCCCCACACGGCACTCTGTGTGGGTCTTGTCCCCCATAATGTCCCCACATGGTGCTCTGCGTGTGTCATGTCCCCCTAAATGTCCCCACACGGCGCCCTTTGTCTGTTTTATCACCCCTAAGTCCCCCTCCGGCGGTCCCTTTGTCCCTCTTGTCCCCCGCCGGGTCCCATAGGGCGAAAATGGCCTGGGGGGGGTCTAATTAGACCTGTTTTAGGCACCCTAAAACAGGTCTAATTAGACCTGGTATGTGGGATTAGCAGGTGCTCGAGACTGCTTGCAGTCAGCTCAACACCCTTGCTTTGTCCATTTGGTGACCCTAACACTCAAACCTGCAATTTCCTGTCCGCAGTCAAGACTATGGCGGCTAATGAGGCATGAGCCAAGTACAGCACTTGATATGTTAAACACTAGCTGCAGGCTGAGCTTCCAGCCCAGCGGTGGGAAGAAGCAGCTGGATTAGGCCGGACTCCGATTTCCTTTTCAGAAGGCTCATTCGGAGCACTCGTACGAATATGTCGGCTTCTCCACTTTTAACTGAGAATGAATGTGAAGATCATTATATTGATGCTACTACACGATGTATCCCATTACATTTGAGCTGTTCTGCCATGGAAGGCAAAGGCAGAGTCTCCGGGTCCCAGAGACTCAACATCTTTACAGCCAAAAGCACACAGAGGTCCAGCACAGGCCATGTCACGTGCAATGCCAAAACGTGAAGCAGTTCCCATTGTGCAGCCCAAGATACGTCGCAGGCGAAGAACGATGCCCATGTGTATGTCGTGAAAATTGCGGTGGGCTCCAGCACGTCGTCAAAATCTAGCTTGAAGAACCCACAAGCAGATATCCAAGGGCAGGATCTCTATGCTCGTGATTTCCTGTCCAGATCGAGTCGTACCACAGGCGTAAAGTGCAGAGAGGATGGTGGCAAGGATCCAAAAGAACCCAGACACTAGGGGGCAAGGACCCACGCACATGAAATCCATGTGCGATAAACGCAGGTCCATCGCAGATGGACCGGAGATATCGCGACAGCTTGCCAATGGTTCTTTACTACACAAAGGCAAGACAAAGGTAGACAAAGGGCAGGACCAGCCCAGGGCATGATTCCCTGCACTGGGGAAATCTCCCCTGCCCTTTGTCTGGCCTTTGTCCATCCTTTGTGTATTAAAGAACCATTGTTAAGTCTTTATATTACCTTTCGATATTTCCGGTCCATCTGCGTCGGATCTTTGTTTATCGCACATGGATTCCAAGTGCCTGGGTTCTTGCCCCTAGTGAGAGGCGACAGGTGACATCGAGTCAAAGGCTTGACATGAATGGAGGCGCCCAATAATCCGCTATGACCACTGAGCATGGTGCCGAGATCAACCGGGGGCCAATTCATCTTCAGTAGATGGGTGTATGGCCAAGCACCGGGAAGAAGGCGCCGTAGAGGGTTTCAAAATCAAGTGTCCCAGGCTGCAGTCACAGTGGAATTCCCGACATTCCACATTTGAAGTTTCGAGATATTTTGTGAACCAGGGAGGCCTGTACGACAACAGTAAGTACAGGCTAGTGAAGTATTATAAGTATGTGTACTGAAACTGGATAAGTTAAATAGAACATACCTGTCACGCAGTTCATAGTAAGAATCAGCGAGAGGAAAACACGTAACAGGAAAATAAATAAGCTTGGCACAGCCCCGTGAGGTCGCTGTTGACTTGACGCGTAGCTTGATGTCCAGATGTTAACACTCCTCCTCAGCGTGCTAAACACGTCCAGTCAACCTACGATGCCCAGCATCGTCCTGAACTTCTTGAACAGAGGTTCCGGTAGGGGTTTTGTGAAAATGTCTGCCATGTTCTCAGAGGTGTGAACATATGTGAATGTAAGTTCGCTGCGCTCAACACGGTCACACGAGAAGTAATACTGCACATCAATGTGCTTCGCACACAAGTGGAACGAGGGGTCGGCAGTAAGGATCAATGGACCCTGGTTGTCACAGCGAATGTCCGTCGCTTTGCGCTGAGTGTGACCAACGGCATGCAGGAGCATGCAAAGCCAGACGGTTTCTTTCGCAGCATGGCAGCAGGCCATGTACTCGGCCTCGGTACTAGAAGTCATGACGGTGCTTTGGCACTTGGAACTCCAGGAGATAACTCCTCCTCCTAGACTCATGCAGTAGCCAGAAGGAGATTTCCGCCTGTCCAGGTCGCCCAGAGGTGCGTAGTTGGAGTCGGTATACCCAGCAAGTTTGATGGGAGATGTGCCGCCGAGAACAAGCACAAAAAATTTGGTGTTGATAAGATAGTGCAGTATATGTTTGGCGGCCAGCCAGTGAAGCTCTCCTGGATTTTGGCAGGATTGGCTAACAATTCCAACAGTGTGGGCAATGTCAGCTCGAGTTGCGACATTTGTGAACATCAAAGAACCAACTAGTTTGCGGTAAGGGACTCCAGCCATGCGCGCTTTGGCGGTCGGGGAAGAGGGAGACATAGAGTGGGACAAAGATTCCCCATAGACCATAGGAGTTCTGACAGGGTGAGCATTTTTGAGGCTGAAACACGACACCATTTTCTCAATATAGGCTTGTTGGTCAAGGGAAATTGTGCAGGCTTGGCAATCACGTGTCACTTGGATTCCCGGGATCTATTTGACAGGCCCGAGATCCGTGATCTCGAAGTGTCTGCGGAGCTCTGCTTTAAATTTGTGGACGTGGCGGAATTGGGGCAAATTGCCCCAAAAGCCAGTGGCCTCTATGAGACTGCAATACTGTACCGATTTGTATGGTAGCAACGTAATGTGTAACGCTGGCCTCGAAATGTTGCCTAAATCGCCCCGTAACGCTCAGAGCTTCCAGGGCCAATTTGGGTAAATTTTCGGCCCTGCAGAGCATCAAATTACCATTTTAGGCAACTCCGGTTCCTAAAAAGGCAATTTGTTGCTATCTTGGGACCAGATTTTTTCGTAACGCACCTTGAATGGTTGCTACCATACAAATCGGTACAATAGGTCTGTGTTATGTTGCTGAGCCAAGAGGGAAGGAGTAAAAGGAATATCCGATCATATGACTAGAGCCGGACCAAGCCGATACTCGGAGATGAACAGATGTCTAGATCAGCCCTTCTCAGAACACCACAACTCAGCAAGGGTGACCGATTGATTGGCCTCGGGCTGCCAGATGGGAATGTGTCTGATACCAAGGTCCGAGCAGTACTAGCTTGAAGATGGCAATGGGACACGGATAGCCTGGACCAGAGATGCAAGGGCAGTTGCCGGTATAGTTGGTTAGTCGTCCGGCGTAGGTCCGGGACGGACCGGAGCGATCAGCAAGAAGGAACAAGCCGGAGCGAGCGAAAGGCATATCCAAGAAGCAGGAGACAACCCGGAGTCGTACCACAGTTGTTGGTTTGGCCGAATGAGAACTCCGGAGACGTGACCAAAGGTCCGGGGACGCGACCAAAGAGCGAAGGTGACCGGAGTCCCAGAGGGAACCAGAAGGAGACGGGAGCAGGGCCATAACGAGGGAGAGGTCAAGAGGCAATGAACAAGAACCTCAGGAGACGATTGAGACGATTTGCAACAGTCCATGAAGAGGAAACATGGAAACAACATTAATTTTCCAGATAGTTTACAGGAAGTAAAGTACCGGTATAAATACTAGAGTCAGGTAATTAGTACAGAAGGAAATAAGTAACATGAGGCAGAGTATGCCATGTGGAAGAAGAGACTACCTTGCGGCAGAATAGGTCAAGTGAGTATGAAGAATAATAGCAAGTGAATAAAGAAGAAAGGCAAAGCATATGGTTAGATAGATAGATAGATGGATAGAAGAATGATAAGATGATAATGTGAAGATACCTGCCTTGAGGCAGATGAAGAAGCGATGTGGAATGATGGAAGTGTGATGAGAAGGCGCAGCATGTGAGAAGACAATAAGGAGAAGTGATGTGGGTGTTGAAACAATAGAAGAGAAGTGATAAGGAACGGATAAATGGATAAGGAGTGAATAGGCATGATACCGCATGATCCAAATGAGAGTCCGATGTCTCCGGTAACTCCGATTCTCGGAGAGATGACCGGAGCGGCTGGAACGTGAGCAGGAGTGTGGAAGCATAGGCAAATGAGGTATAAGTGCACCGGAAGTTGGACCGGTACGTGGGTAGTTGATATGGACAAGGTCCGAGGTACTGGTTGGCATTTTGGGAGTTCCGGGTCGCTGGAGCGGACATAGAGGCGAGTAGTCGTTCTGGAGATAGTTGGCAGGACTTCCAAAGGAGTGCATATGCATAGGAGTGGCTACCGGCAACTGTGGTTCCAAAACCGTTCACTGACTAAGCGTGATCCGACGAGTTTGATGGTAAAAGTGAGGTTATGCAGGAAAATAATCTGTGTGTGTAGCAGCCTCACTAGAAGTATACCTAGTGGTTTGGATTGGGTGTAAATGCTCCCTGTTCGTTTTCTAAGCCTGTATAAGGTGTATGGCTTGACCGTCAGTGTCATTTCCTTTGTTTGGTCGTGCTTTCAGTGCCAGCCAAATCACTTTAGCACGGCACCTACCCTGCCCCAATATAGTAAAATACCCTTCCGTACCTTTTGATAAATGTACTTGGGGAAATTTTATGGATATTCGGCACAGCAAAGTGGTCTGATGGCCGTCCTAAATGGGACTTACCGCCTGCCGCCCGATACGGTAGGTGCCCCTATTTCTCATCGACATGTTCACACGCTCGGCATCACTGTCTCACGCTTGCCGTCGTCGTCGCCGCTGTTGCGCCGCAACT